TTATTGATATTTCTCAGAAATCAAGTTCTTCAGTTGTTTTGTCATTTTAAGTCCGTCTCGTTAAACCTCGCATGTATATTTCCGGTCTCGGGAACGAAAAGAAATTGTTGAAAGCTCAAACTGGTGAGTGGTAAGGTGATTGAATTCAGGTTATAGACTATAAGATAACCACTGCTAAATGTGAAGGAGAATCGGGGTTATCTAACAAACATTTCGATAATGTAATTAGAAGACGAAGATTATCAGAACTATGTGATCTATTAGCGCAATACATTTCGAACAATCTGATCATACATATACTTGTTAAGAGCATTTATATATAAAAGTAAAAGGTCAGCTAGACTGGAAATGGGGTAAGAGGAGATAAGAATAATGATAAGAGTAATAATAATAATAATAATAATAATGTGAACACAGTTCGTAACCTAATCACTGGAATAATAAGTCAATATTACCAGGGTAGGTTTAAGGTAAGAACAAACTGTTTTTGAACACACAAAGGGGGTTTGAATTTTCGTATGGCTAAGGCTTCAATAAACCTTAGTATACGCCCTTTTACACTTTTATACAATACCACAAAAGCTGAGTTTAGATCAATCTTGTGACCTGTTTCAATCATATGTTTAGCAATAGAGGATGATGGATGTTTATCCTCTGCTCTTGTTGGGTCACTTGATTCTATTTGTTTCTGCAACCATTTGGGTACATGTTCACTCACCCTAATGTTGAGATCACGATTGCTCCTCCCTATGTATGTGTGGTCACACACACATTTAGATTGGTAAACACAGTGGGATGTGACACAATCATTTTCATGTCTTTTAGGTTTCGAATGAAGCATGCACCTTGTCCTTTCTTTGATGATAACCTTTGCTGCGCAATACGTTTTATTGATGACTGATTTAAGTCTTTGTTTCAATAAAAGGCTATTTGAATCAGTAAATAAATATAAAAAAACCCAGTTGACACTTACCAACAAAACAAGCCAGATGATCCATTGAATTGGAAATAGTGCCATACTTGTAGTTGCCAACATAAAGTAAATTATGTTGAGGACTTTTATGAAATAAACCAACTTTTAGGAATGATTCTAAACTAGATTTGTATAGTTCAAGAGCTTTCACATCTTTATGATCAGTACGAATCCATTCTTTTAGCAAATATTCATAAAATGAATCACCTAATGCAGAGAGACCAGCTTCATTACCACACCATGATTTTGTATTCGGATCCATAAAATTAAGAAATAACCCATTAGGCTTGTTCACTTCTTCCAAAACCTTACGAATAGCATCAACCTAATATGAAGACAAGACCGTGGATAGAAAACAAAATTATAATAAAGATTATGTTAATCTATTTTGATAGCGGGTATGGGTCAAATCTGTGAACTACTGGTTGGTTGCATAAGGAAAAAAAATAATTAACAATTGTTAGGATTTTGTTATACTTATCTACCTATTTCATAATAGATTGATCTTATTCATTTTAATAACTTGTTTTATCTTTTATGTTGTAATATTATTTCATATTTGCAGTTATTGTAAATAAAAGACTATATAAAATAGGCCAATAGAGATCATTGTGTTTATCATATCTAACTACCACTAATTCACTGTACTTTTATTTATAAAAATTATTTGATAATCATCAATGTTATTATTTTATATGCAGTCAATCATAATTAAACGTGCCAAAAAGAAAACCACTTTTCTGAACATCATGAAAGCAAATAGAGAGCACGAAAAAGACGATTACAAAATTTTAAATGAAATAATTTTAGTTGAGAAAAGTTCATTTTTATACAGACTTTTATTTTGTAAGCAAAACTCTGATCCTGTAGATTTGTATTGCATATCAAAACTTTATTATAGAAATGGTTGATGCTATATAAAAATCATTTACGAACATCTATCTTAGTTCACTTTTGTATTTTTATTTATTTATTTTAAGACATAGATATTAGTACAAGGAGGCACCAAATACATATGCGCCACACAAATCACATTCGATATGTGTGAGGGCTGTGATACTGCCCGGGTGCCCAGACCGAAGCACGTGGTTTTCTTAGGGGGCCACACCCGGAGCCTTCAACCTGAAGGTCTGGTCCACAAGGCAGTGGAGCAACGTAAGGAGATGCAGTCCCATGGAAGCCGGTGACCAACAATTGGTTCATACACCAAGAATCAGTTGTAATGGTGCGAGGCTATCTATTCTATATTTTACTCAACATTTCGAGTACCTTCATTCCTCTATACATAAATTCCCATTTTGTCATTACTACTACTACAACTACAACAACAACTACTACTGCATTATTTCGATTTATTTACGACTCATCTTGGTGATGTGGTATGGTCGTTTGAGCTATCACATGCTTATGCCTTGATCTCTGTTGATTATGACTAACTGAAATCAACTTTCACGATTGAAGATAGGAGACCATAAACTTTATCGTCGAATCCTTAATTAGTAAATGCCACTAGGTCGATATATATGTAGCATTCAAAACTACAAATTGGATTTCATCCACTTATATTTTGTCATCTTTATTCTTTTATAGTCAGTCCTGATAATCAACCGACTTAGTATTTTTCTTTTCAACTGAATCTCGCTTTATTATTATTATTTTCATTACATTTTAGTCGGTGTTTATTTTTTTGATAATGAAAATATGAATTTCGCTTCCGGTGAGACAGCTAAAGAGTTGATCACTACTACAACAGGAATATAACCTTAAAGTCATTGGAGTAACTAACCAGAGTAAAATATTAGATTTATGCACCACTTCATGTTTAGATTACTTTAAATAATGAATTTACTGTATAATCTATCCAATTATTAAAAAACCACAACTGAGATCCTATTATGAATTAATTTGCAGACAGTCAGTACACTACTGATAATTTGTTGCTATATGAGCGTAAACCTGGATTGTACATCAAATATTGAACATAGTAAAAAAAAAAGCGTTTTTTCGGTCATTAGCTTAGGTGGTCGGCATTATAAAAACTAACAGTGAATCCCAATCAAGTGTGAAGCAATGTATTAATTATAACTTTTACATTCTAAAAAAGAACTACCGAAAATGGACATTTTCGTATAAAGTCTGCGTGTGATTTGTTTCTCTATTTTCTTTTTATGTGATAAGAATTTTATACTGCATGTGCTTTTTGATCACTACTAGACAAAAACTATGAAAAAAACAACAAAATGTAAATTTTTATACAAAAAAGATGCGTACCATGCCACAAACAGTTTTTACACTATTTTCAACTTTTTTTTTATTTACACAAAATGATGGCAAGAAAAGTGACTTTTTCGCTTTTGAAAAAAAACAATGAAAGGTTTATCTTCCACATGGGTACATTGTCGTATATAATTTTTGGATTGATCTATACAATAATTACCAAATATCGTTCAAGACATTAACAACGGAAACATATATATAGAATTTTTTTATTGTATTTAAATGGGAAATATTACTTTAGGACTGGTCTATGTAAACTGAACTAATGATAAGGAGTGAAGAAGTCGAGAGTGTCAACCACTTAACTTATCTTGGAAGTTTCATCAAACCTAAGTTGGTTGGTGTCTGCTGAGGTCTCACGACACATTTAGAAAGGTCGGTTGACTATGTCAACTTGTGGCATAAGCGAGATGTTCACCTGCAAATTAAAAGACGAGTATATCGTGGAGAGATTTGCTCTGTTTAACTTGATGCCTATGAGACGTGACCTATAAAAATAGAGGATATTTGTAAGTTACCAGTATTTGTCGCAGATACATTTGAGGCATTCCTGGCGTATATTGGGGTCATAAAGTAGGGAATGATGAGGTACTAGACACAGGGTATTGGGTAAAGATCCCAAATCCATTCATAAGGGAGTGAATATTTATCGACTGAGATGGTCAGGACATGTATTATGTAAGCCTAATCACCGACTACTGCGATAACGGCTAGTTTAACGGTAGGTTGGAAGAGTGGCCAAACTAAGACACGATATCAATTAACGAAGACATCGGCTGTTGGACTATCCTGTTGGGGTCTGTTTAATGATAGTAACTACTTTTGACGAATGGCTTAAAATCGCCCGCAATGAAGCGAATGCAATCACATTGTCTTTCTGTAGATTACAGGTTCCTAAGCCACTTTATAAATTTGTTTCCCATTTCATGAAGTCATAATTTTTCTCGAATAGTTCTTTCGATGCCTAATCTTTTCTATTACCACTAATACTGTTACTACCTCAATTACTCTGGGATTTGCCCCAACTATTTCATCTTATCGTGTTAATGGGGTGTGGCAACCTAAAGTGACATGGATGTGTCCGATTTTAAGCGATGTATGTATGAGTGACTGTCATTACAGTAAGATGGTTATCACTGACTGCATCGGATCAAGGTTATGCAGTATCATCAATAGAATGAAGTAGAAAAGCTTGAACTACTACTGGATTCCAACACATCATTTTTGAAAGAAGTTATTATGCTCACTATGAAATCTAACGTAGGACATTTGGATTGTACAATGTTAAGGTTGCATGAATATGAATAACAACCGTTGGCTAGCTGCTTATTTCTACTTAGTTTTAAGTGATTCTCTACCTGTAATATGAGTTTTATTGATCTTAAATCTATACAAATTACCACAATATACATATAAATAACTGTTATTACAAGTAACAATTTTTTATTATAAAAGGATACAACCACCGTGTCAATTATCCTACCGTTTATTTACAGATTGAAATGATACACATGAATTAACTGCTAATATAAAGACTATTTTACAATTCATAAAAGTAATCATTTATCCAATAACTACTGATGTATAAATGCATGTCAATAAACTGAAAAAATTATATATAGTCAATCAATCTTTCTATTTAAAAGAAATATTAACATGGGCTACTACTGATTTCGAATGAATAAGATTATTATAATCGATTGTTACTGTATTTTACATTTGTGAAAATAGACACTTTTATTCGAATAAAAATGATCATATTTTCACAAACAGATACTATGTATCAACTTGTCATATAACCTATTTTGGCGAAAACAGACTTAATCAGCAGAGATAGACAGTGGCTGTTTGGGACTCGTCAACTGGATGTACCTGCATTTCAAAGTTGATGTTCGCCCTGGGACTGGAACCCAATACCGCTCGCTTCAAACACCATTGCGTTATCTACTTAGATACAGAGTCCTGATAGACACAAGCAAGTGGCCACTCTGAGATGCAGGTACATCCAGCTGACGAGTTCCAAATAAGACGAAACGCGCGTCCTGGATTCCACTGCCAGCCAATATCCATCTGTGCTTATAATGCTTGTGACTTAAGGCAATATCGAGGCAATCCGCACAGGGTGCACATATGGCAATAAGAGACTGACCGACTGCAATCCCAAATATCAGTGGTTAGATTCAAGTAAGCAATACTAAGTGAATGAAAACAGACTAAGCTAGAAATTTAATAATTTTACTAGTTAACTAGAAAAAAAGCACTACTTACTTACTTACTTACGCCTGTTACTCCTCGTGAAGGAGCATAGGCCGCTCACGCGCATTCTCCATCCAACCCTGTCCTGGGCAATCCTTTCTAGCTCCGTCCAGTTGTAATTCATCGTTTTCATATCTGTTTCTATTATCCGACGCAATGTGTTCTTTGGCCTTCCTCTTTTTCGCTTCCATTCAGGATTCCAAGTTAGGGCTTGCCTCGTGATGCAGTTTGACGATTTGCGTAATGTATGTCCTATCCATTTCCATCGTCTTTTCCTAATTTCTTCTTCATCTGGAAGTTGGTTTGTTCTCTCCCACAGAAGGCTGTTGCTGATGGTATCCGGCCAATGGATGTTGAGTATCTTGCGTAGACAGCTATTTATAAATACTTGTACTTTCTTGATTGTGGTTGTTGTAGTTCTCCAAGTTTCAGCTCCATACAGTAGAACTGCCTTGACGTTCGTATTGAAGATTCTCACTTTGATATTGGTTGAAAGTTGTTTTGAGTTCCATATGTTCTTCAATTGTAGGAATGCGACCATTGCTTTGCCGATCCTCGCCTTTACGTCTGCATCGGATCCTCCTTGTTCATCGATGATGCTTCCCAGATATGTGAAGGACTCTACATCTTCCAGAGTTTCGCCATCAAGTGTGATTGGATTGCTGTTCTCCGTTTTGAATTTGAGGACCTTAGTTTTCCCTTTGTGTATGCTGAGGCCTACTGATGCAGAGACTGCTGCTACACTGGCTGTCTTCATCTGCATCTGTTCGTGTGTACATGATAGGAGGGCTAGGTCATCTGCGAAGTCCAAATCGTCTAATTGATTCTGAGCTGTCCATTGTATTCCGTGTTTTCCTTCAGATGTTGAGGTCTTCATAATCCAGTCGACCACCAGAAGAACGAGTAAACAGCCTTGTCTGACTCCGGTCCTTACTTGGAATGCATCTGTCAGCTGTCCTCTATGCACTACTTTGCACTGTAGTTCGTCGTATGAGTTCCGGATAATATTGACAATCTTCTCAGGAACTCCGTAGTGTCGAAGAAGTTTCCATAATGTCCTCCTATCTACACTGTCGAATGCCTTTTCATAATCAATGAAGTTGATGTATAGTGATGAGTTCCACTCAACTGATTGTTCGACGATGATCCGTAGTGTCGCAACTTGGTCTGTGCACGACCGATCCTTACGGAATCCAGCTTGTTGATCTCGAAGTTGGGCGTCTACTGCATCCTTCATCCGGTTCAGCAACACTCTGTTGAAGACTTTCCATGGTATTGACAGTAGTGTAATGCCTCTGTAGTTTTCACATTTGCTCAGATCTCCTTTCTTTGGAATCTTGACGAGGTGTCCTTCTTTCCAGTCCGTCGGCACTTGTTCCTCCTCCCAGAAAAAAAACATGACAACAAAATATTGGTGTTCCATTGTTTTCACAGTAAAAGCAAAACTTATCGTTATGCCAACTATAAAAAAAGTAGTTATTATTATTTTATCAATCGATTACCTAAATATCAACAACACAATGAAAAATGTGTGTTCTGGCATAGAAATGATATTAATTTGATTATATTCACATTAAATTAAAACAACCCAGGGTAGATAACTTTAGAATGAAAAAAAAATAAGGAAAGCAAATCAGTCATATGAATGTAAGCTGTACTTGGAATGCAGTTTAGCAATTAAAAAAAACTTAGTATACAAGGCACAAACATAAACTCTTTACTATTGATGTGAGTGGAATACTTTCACTCCTCTGTTAAATTAGATCTTGCGTAGTGAAAAAAATGGGATTCAAGAGTTTAAAATAGACAATTTGCTAATATAATTTCAAAATAAAAAACAAATCTGTATTAATTAAACTGAAACACATACGATAGAAAAACATAAGTATGATGAATGTAAAAATTAGTGAGGTAGAATTACTAAAAATATTTTGTTTGTCCTACAGTAATACAACAATATAGCATTGCAAACGCATTTACAATAATTATCATAGATGATAATTACTTTGACAAAGATATTGTGACTTGAACTGTGACTTATCGATAATTCAATAATGCTGAAATAAGCTACGTCTTGTATCCTAGAATGCGAAGAATAACAACTAACTAATTGTAGATCGCACAGAACCATAAATTTGACTGATTAATAGAATGTTTTGAATACAAGTTCGACAATAATCAACGAAGAGTAATATTCAGCCTTAAAAAAACTCATGATTCATCTCATATGTAATCATTTGGAGTCATTATTTAAGTACTTTTGGTCCTTGATCAATTTTTGATAGGTAATCAACATGGAGCTAATCAGATTCTACCTAGTAATCGGGTTAGAATGATGGTCAAAAAATTATATGGACTGGGATCATATAGTAAACATATAACACAGGATGACTTTACAAAACCAAGGATGTTGTGGATCTTATTAACATGTTTTTGAAAATTACGTTAATTGTATACTGTGATGATTAAACTGCTTTTTTCTAGCACACTTATGCAACACTAGGTCAATCGGAAACAAGCTATAGTTGGGGGGGGTAAGACAGGTCTCACTATTATTTTACATAAAAAGTAAGCAAACTACTTGAAAACTAACCTTTTCTGAATAGACCGGATTGCCAGTTAGCTCAGAAAGGTATTTAAATTCCATATGTAATGTACCAAACTCTGATAGAATTGAACATCGACCATTTGCCCAGACGAAATTCCGCTTATCTCCCCTAAAGTAATTCATAACAGAAGAATAGTCATAAGATCATATTAGATAGAAATTTTTCCTTAATAGTTTAAGTGTAGGTAGAACACGAGGATGAAGTATTTAGAAAAATAATTATTCTTTCCACTTTTTCAAAGAGTTAGTTTTATTTAAATAGCTCTACACAGAAGTATGGAGAGCAGGGGACCACCAATATATATGGTCTTTTCGAGACTTTATTTTTTTATTTGAACACAAATATTGGTACATGGGGGCACTAAATATATATCAGTCAGTCAGATACAACGTAGGACCAGGCACATATGTGCATCGGTCCAGGTTGCCATACCGCATCAGCACAACAAGATGAACACCGGATTCATAGCAGTGATTAGGCCAAAGGTGGTAATATATAAAAGAAAGATTGCAATAAGGATATAGTACAAGAAGAAAAAATTGGTTCGTAGAAAGAAAGATATGAAGCAATTTTAATCTCATAGTTTAAGGGAAGACAAAGAGTGTATACACCGACGCCATTGTGATCGATTTTGAGCCATGTCAACAAGTCTCCAACCATTGGTCACGATAGTCACGCGGACCCCAACCAAGTAGTCTGCATCTACCAACATGGCTCAGACTAGAAGTTAGTGACTTCAAGCACTGATGCCACGTTTTGGTTTGGCCGCCCCTAACCTTCTTCCAACCATCTCCAACACCGGTTAGCATTGCACGTCGTGGTAATCGGTATTCAGGCATACGTACCACGTGGCCTAACCATCTCAGTCGATGAAGATTCATAACCTCATCAACTGATTTACCATCATTCCCTAATACCCTGCGTTTAACCTCACTATTACTTACCCGGTGATCCCAGCAGATGCCAGCAATATTTCTAAGGCATCTGTGGTCAAATACTAGTAGCTTACGAGTGTCTTCTACTCTTAATGGCCATGTTTCGCTGCCGTAAATTGAAACAGAACGGACTGCCGTGCAGTATACTCGTCCTTTTTTGGATAGGCGGATATCTCGCCTACGCCATAGGTGACGTAAGTTGGCAAAAGCCAAGCGAGCTTTTCGAATCCGTGTTGAGATTTCGTCAGGCACCAACCCATTACGGCTGATCAGACTTCCAAGATAAGTGAAGTTGTCAACGCGTTCGACTACTTCACTCCCTATCCTTAGCTCAGGTGTTAACGCAGACCAGTCCTGAAGCAACAACTTGCATTTCGAGGGAGAGAAGCGCATTCCAAACATTCTGGCATTGTTGCTCAGTGATACCAGAAGACTCTGCATTTCGTCAGCGTCTTCACCAAACAGGACTATGTCATCTGCGTATTCTAAGTCGATAAGTGGACCCCCTGGATGGAGATCAATACCCGAGAACTCAGTCGACGAGAAAGTTATTTCCATCAGTAGATCTATGATGAAGTTAAACAAAAATGGAGAAAGTGGACAGCCTTGACGGACACCACTTGAGGTTGCAAAAGTAGATGACAGTTCGCCATAAGCTCTCACTCGACTGGTAGTGTTCGAGTAAAGAGCCTTCACAAGGTTTATGTACTTCTGGGGTACGCCTTTTAATGACAGACACTGCCACAGAATCTCGCGGTCTACAGAGTCAAATGCTGCTTTTAAGTCGAGAAAAACCACCATTGTTGGACGCCGATAAGTATGCCTGTGTTCTAGAATCTGACGAATGGTGAATATGTGGTTGATGCAGCCACGACCAGGTCTGAAGCCAGCTTGATTCTCTCGTGTTTGCAGCTCACGAGTCCTAGTTAAGTGTCCGATAATTATCGAGGCTAGTATTTTAGATACGATATTAGTTAAACTAATCCCTCTGTGGTTGTCACAGGATGATTTTGACCCTCTCTTATATATTGGGACGATAAGTGATTGTGACCAGTTAGATGGGATAAGGTCTAACTCCCAGATCTTAGCTAAAATATTAGTTAACCTAGTCGCTAAAATTGAACCACCATCCTTAAAGACCTCTGGAGCCAGTCCATCTGGACCAGCTGCCCTTCCTCGTTTCAGATTAACTATAGCCTTTTGAACTTCAGAAAGATTTGGGGGACCTACTTCAATGTTCCATCCACACTGTTTGGGAATGAAGGGTAGTTGTAGAGTAGCTGAAGGCCAGCTGAACTGTTCTCTGAAATGTTCCGCCCATCGCTATAAACGTCTGGACTGGGAGTAGATGAGAGTATCGTCTTTTTCTGATATAATCTCACTTACACTTGACTTATTAATTCCAGTTTCTTTTATTAGTCTGTAAAGCTGTCTTGTGTTCCCTATAGTCGCCGCCTTTCCCATTTCTTTTGCTTTCGTTGTCCACCACTGCTCACGGTCCTTCTTCAGACTTTTTCTTAACCTAGACCTGATTTGTTGTCGCTCTTCATCATGTTCGGAACCTGATGGGACGAGTTTGCGAGAATCCATCAGTGTGATTGACTTTGAAGAAATCCACTGGTTCTTTGTAACTCTGTGGTTTAAGTCACTAACAGATTTCATTGCTGTTTCCACAGCTGCTTGTATATCTTTCCAAGCAACATCTGAGTCAGTCTCGTTTTCAGAACTACCTAATTGTGACCTCAGTTGTTCCTGGAACCTATTTTTGGTTGGTGACATTTGAGGAGGAAGCCGAAAGAGGAAGTTTAGAGTTGAAAGTTGATGTGGGAGGAATAATAGGAATTGAAGAGGAAGGTCGATTATGAATACAGTGGTCTTGTGTGCTGTTAGAGGTATGAGGGCGGTTATCACTTCCCGGTTGCCCACACCGAGGAAGGGTTCTTCTGGAGGTACCTGAAAAGGAAATTGGATTAGAGGTGGTCTCAGTGACCTGAGAGCGTGACCGCAGTGCCCAAGGGACAACTGCTTGAGGCCGGTCGCGCACGGCCTTTTCGTGGGAGGTTTTTGACGTGTTAACTCCATTTTTCAAAGGGCCTTACCGCCGGAAACGGAAATCCGTGAGGTAAGGTGAGGTGTGCATTTTTAGGGTCGACCTTTTCTAACCCCACCCCTCCTTGTGGGAAGGCAGCATCGCTGTCATGCTGGTTGTCTGAAGGAAACACCTTACTGCTGTCACACCTCTGTACAGTCAGCAGTACGACTTCGCCTTCGGACCTTGGGTTTGTTGCTTTTAGTCTTACCGCTCTTCAACCGACCTGTCTGACATGGTAGGACCTTGAGGAACGGTTGTTCCAGACAGTATAGCTCGGTTGCTTCATCACGATAGACAAGCCCGGCCACCACGTCAAGGTAGCAACAACGGTCGGGACTAAATATATATGCGCCACACAAATTTCATTCATTGTGTGTGGTGATGATGATGATTTGAAACACCTATAATCGAATCAATATATGATAAACATTTTAATCAATAGTCTGATAAGATCTTTCGAATAATTTTCAAAGGAATAAACAAAATGAGTTATTTAGATTACTTTTTACGTTAAACGTGTGTTTAGTGTATGAAACATACAGTCCTTTGAATACAGCAAGATTTGTGGGCATTAAACGAAACGGATGAGTTTTGTGGAAATAGTGTTAACCGTTGATTCAGTTAACTACAAGTAAATTCGGATTGATATATTGTCCAAAGATATCAACAAATATGTAGGCCTAGTAACTTTAGTCAAACCAACGATGTAAATGACTAAAGAATAAAACGAATTGATAGGAATTTCAA